GTTCCTGGCTACCTTCGCGGCCTCCTGCATCATTCTCGTGACGAAATCGAGGGCGAGGGGCGGGGTGAGCGATTCGATGTCACACATCTCTGAAATTTTCTGGAGAACCTCGGAGTATTTCGGGTGCAGGAAGACCTCTGAGGGGATACTGGAATACCTCCGATCTGAACTTGCAGGACGGCCGTAAGACAGCGATACTTGCACGGGAGCATGGTCACTTACTCCCCGTCTGAAGAGAGCCTCGGGAAGGTCAAGCACCTCGCCCGACGCGCAGAGCTGGTTCAAGATCCAGCCCGTGAAACTCACAAACTGCCTATCTATCGAGGTGAGTAGCCGATGCTGCGCGTTGTAGTGGGTCGGGTCGGAAACCTGGAGTTCGGTCATCTTCCCGAGGGCTTTCATGAAAATCGGGTCCTGGCCACGCCTGTATTCCTTCACAAAGTTCATCTTCGGGGCCTGGGGTCGTTTTTGTCCTGGAGTTCTCTGCGCATCCACTACGCCCTCTTGACAGGGTAGCTGGTCGGCGAAGTTAAAGTCGCCAGCGACAACGACGAACATTGTTCCTGGCGAAACCGTGGCTTGGGCAAGATCCTCTAGAATACTGTCTGTAATATGTTGTCTAGCTTCTCGTGTTAGCTTGAAGTTGTGAATGTTGTAATGGCTAATCCAGACGTCCCTGCTGAAAACAATCCTGAGATTGAGTGCCCTGCCAGGAACCAAAACTCTGGGCTCAACCAATGGAGCCTTCGGGCCGAGGAACGCGAAGTCCGGGAAGAACGTCACCACTCCTCCAGCCTGGGAAGACGGGCAAAAACTCGGTGCTGCCAGCACCTCCTTATGGTAATGGTATAAGACCTCTTGGATCTCCATCTCTGACCCGTGACTCTCCTGCACCGCGAGGATAGACCCAGGGACCAGAAGCCTCTTAAGGGTGCGAAGTTTCCTGTCTCTCATATTGGGGTCATGGTGAAATAGGGCCCTTGAGTTCCAGGTAGTCAGAGATAGCTTCCAATTCTTCATCTGTCGGCCCTTCCAGGCCGAGAAAAGACGCTGGCTAAAGACACCACTCAGTTGCCACGGTCTCGTTGGCGAAGATGCGGTCGAGTGCGAGGCGCAGGCCGTTGATGTCCACCCCGATCGCCTGCAGGTTCGCGGCGGCGAAGTGCACGACTGGTGGGTCGTCTCCCGGGCGAGCCTCCACCTTGAGAATCGGCTTCCACATGTGGCTGAGTTCTCCTTTGTTTTTGTCTCCAAATACTTTGATGTTGGGATAGAGCTGGGTGAATGCGAGTCTGGCTTTTTTGAGTGCCAACTCTCTGCGCACCATGCAACTGTTTTTGTCCCCCGAGATGAAGAGCTCGGAGTGTTGTCCGTCCACATCGAGAGCTGCAAATCTTTCATACTGTCCATCTGTCCGCTTGAGGCTCGACATACATTGTGCCACTTTGCGCTCAGCGTAGCTACGACTGCCTCCAATTCTGATTGAGAACTTCTTGCTAGCGGGGTCCCCCTCGATAACAAAGTCAGATTCCGCGAGATTGTTCCGCTCGAGCCAGGGCTTGAGGGCATTGAACATGTTTTGCTTCGGGATGACATTTCGAGATCTGATGGCCAAAATGGAGGTGTCGATCTCGCGGTTGAACGACTGGTCGATCGGTTTCGGCGTAGGTCTCTCTGACTGGATATCACCGAGGAGGGCCTGTAGCCTCGAGATTTGCATCTTGAGGCCGTTGATCTCTGACGTGTGTTGGTTGACCGTCCCTTCGACCGTGGCGATTCGCACCTCCACCTGCTTTGAGATAGCCTCGAAGGACGAGGTGACCTGGTTTGACAAGTTGGCGAGTCCGTTGTTGATCGTGGCGACTTGAGCTTGCAGGTTCCTGACTGCGGTGTCCATCGCCTTCTTGGTTTCCTCCATGTGTTCTCGCAATGCATCGATATCTCCACCAGTGCGAGCAGCCACACGCCGACCAGCAGGAGCCACCTCCTGAGACGGGAAAGTCGGAGCTGCCTCCAACTGCGCTGCCAAGTCCTCATGCTTCCCGCCCATTGCAAAATGCCTGAGCTGGGAAATTGCTTCGGATGTCACACGGTCAAAGACCGAGGTCGGCCTGGGCAGGCACCTACTCGACCTCTTCGGGCCCCTCCTGGCGGGGCGTCTTGAGGCGGGGGGTACCAAGTTCCCAAACGGCGACGACTTGAGCCAAAATGGCTACGGACCTCCTCCTTCTCCTCCTCCTCCTCCTCCTCCTCCTCCTCCTCCTCACTCTCGAACATGCATTGGGTCCAGCAAGTTCTGCACGGATGGAAGGCGGGCGGCTCTCAAATATGGGGCTCTCAGCTTGGCGCCGCGCACACGCGACTTCACACATCAACTCGATCCACCGATGGATGGGGTCACAAAATCGCGTCTCGGCGCCGCGCACACGCGTCTTAACCCATCAAATCTTCAAACGAACGGTGAGCGGCCCGTTTGAACATGGGGCCCCCGCCTCGACGCCGCGCACCATCGTCTGACACCGTGAGCAACATTTACACGGATGTGAGGCGGTTCCGTTTCGAATTCGGGTTCTCGCCTCGGACTCTGCAAACACGGCCACACGTATAACATTGTGCCACCCGCAGCTACACGCGTGGACGGAGGCGCCTTCTCAACATAGGGCTACCGCTTGAGACCTTCGATAGCATGCCCAGAAACCGAAAGCAGCGCAACGGCTGCTTGGATGGAGGGTTGTGCGTTTTGTTCCGAGCGCGGATGTAGCTTTGCAAATGTTCAACCCCGCCTCGTCGACTACCTCACAGCTGGTAGAATGGATGGCGAGTTTTTTGTTCAGAGCGGAGTTCCCACCTGAATTGCGGGCCCCTGGGGCACTCGTCATTTCAGATGGTCACGTCGCGCAGTGAAAACGAATGCTTCTAGGTACCGCCCACCCGTTACGAAAGTTATTCATCTTGGACACTGACGACTATGGCGACGCCGAGTGCCCGCGCTTCCCCCCGTAGATTCCTGGCACGACTCCCTTCGGCCAGGGCGGGCGGGAGAGCTTTCCAGAGTTCTCCCTTGTGTCGAATTTAAAATGTATAGCCACTTTTGAGCAGGGACCGACCGTCTCGGCATTCCTATAGGCCTACCACGGGATGTTCTTAGAACCCCCCAAATATTCTAATCGCAATAGTAATGTTCTTAGAACAGAAGCCCGATGTGTTAAAAGAAAACAGTCTCAGCTAGAAATGTTCTTTGAACATGTCGCCTAAATATTACGCCTATAGGCGAGCTAGGACGCTTCGCCACTGCTTGACACTTCGGGGTACAACGCGTCCCCCTTGTCATGTCGCAAGGGAGACATCAAACTCGGCCACTTTTACTCCGCTCTGCAATGGCAAGGTGGCTTGGGACGGGAGGGTGTACTTCGGCATCGATGACGCATCTTGAGCTCACTATGGTCCCATCTCCTTCTCCTCCTTCTCCACAACCTCGTTCCTCCCCCCCTCCTCCTTCTCCTCCTCCTCCTCGTCCTCCTCCTCCTTCTCACCTCCTCCTCCTTCTCCTCCGCCAACTTATCCTGGTCTTCCCATCTGGGGTTCACCAGAAGATCGGTGGGAAAGGGCTCCGCCGAATCTCGGTCTGACAGCGTGCGGCCTACCCCTCGTCATTCCCCATGCATGCTCGCACACCGCCCTGATCAATGCGACTCGGCTGCGCATCGTTTCTGAGTGGGCTGGTGGGGATTCGAGTCGTGGATCGACTACGAAATTGACTCACCCAAAACTTGACATCTCCCGTCGGATCTATGAACATGTACGTGTAATGTTCATAGGTCTAAGAGCATGTCATGTACTTCTCGTAGATCCGGCCAACAATTTTCATTTTGGGGTAAATCGACTCTGTAGCCGATCCCCTACTCGAGGGATGCGCGAATCGTCCAGAACGGGATGATGCCCCTGGTGTGACGCAGGCCTGCGGACGCAGGCCTGCAGACGTGGATGCGGCGACGCGGCGGGGAGCTGCGCCACGGTCAGACGAGGGGCGAACGTGACAGAAGGACGGAAGAGAGGGAGAGAGAGAGAGGTTAGGTTAGGACAGCCCCGAGGGGAAGAGACTCGCGAGTCTAAAACAAGCAGGTGGTGCCCCTCAGAGTGACTTTGTTGTCATCCTGGCGGGGAAGAGGAGCCCGCCAGGGACGCGACGGGGCGCCACCCATACTGAGTACTGCTCCTCGGCACGGGCTTCACACGAGCCCGACTGCGCTCTCGCAGAGAGAGAGAGAGAGAGAGAGGAGGGAGAACCGGGTGTTGCTCGAAGTGTCCCTGGCCCAAGGTGCCCCCAAGATCTCCCAGGATGCCCCCACGGCCCCCACGGAACCTCTCGCGAGGCCCAGAGGACCACAGGGGCTTCAGAATGGAGCGATAAGCTGGAGGCACCTTGGGCCAGGGGCACCTGTAGCAACCCCCCCGACGGGGACTGAGGACGGGGGAACGGAGGACGAAGGAGGTGGGAGGGGACGAGCCAGCACCTGCAGCTCCACGAGCTGCCCGAGGTGCAGCAGACTGGTGAGGCCAGGGGGCGTCGCAAGCATGCCGGATGTACGTCCGACAAGCCGCGGAAAAAAACACGGCCAAAACTCTGGGCACCACATGCTTGCCCCCCGATGCTTCGAGCTGGGCCGTTCCGTCGGGCCCGAATCGGGGCGGAAAGCAAGTCGCATTGGAAGCTCACCCGCGGGTGCAACTGGGCACTCCCCCCGCGTGACGCAAACCCCTCCCCTCTCTCGTTGCCTCCCCTCCCCCTCCCCCTCCCCCTCAATCTCCCCTTTCGGCTCATTAGCTCGCTTCGCACGCAGATTCGTCTCCATACCACTGCTCGTCTTCCTTCGCATCTCTCATCCCCGACCCTCGCGGCTCTGTCCCTCTGCTTCCCCACTGGCGAGACTTACGATCGCTCCTCCCCTCTCCTCTCCCCTCTCCCATCGCACCCCTCCGCGGTGGGTGGGACCCCAATCCACTGAGCTCTGGTCGGCGTCGTGCTCGCGTCCGCACTCCTCCTGTGGCGCGGGAGGCCAGAAGGGGAGGGAAGAGAAGAAGGGGGAACCATAAGCGAGGTGATGAGAGTGGGATTGGTGCTGGTGTTGATGGTGATGGTGACGATGATGGTGACGGTGACGGCAATGATGTTGATGACATGACTGTGTGATGGTGTGACGCTGTGATGGTATAATGGTGTGATGGTGTAATGGTGATAGTGATTGTGATTGTGGTGGTGATGGTGAAGGCGATGGTGATGGTGATGATGGTGATGGTGATGATGATAATTGTGGCGATGATGATGACAACGACGGCACCGACAATGATGATGATGATGGTGATGATAGCAATGATGATGGTGATGACGATGAGTTTGATGATGATGCTGATGTTGATGTTGATGTTGGTGTGTGGTGCTTGTGATGGTGATGACGGTGATGGTGAGGATGAGGATGATGATGTCACTGATGACGATGATGATGATGCTGATGGCGATGACGATGACGATGATGATGCTGATGATGATGATGGTGATGATGCTGATGGTGATGATGATGGTGGTGGTGATTGTGGTGATGATGGTGGTGATGATGATGCTGATGATAATGATAATGATGGTGATAATGCTGATGACGATGGCGATGGTGATGGCGATGGTGATGATGATGATGATGATGCTGATGATGATGATGATGATGGTGGTGGTGGTGGTGGTGGTGGTGATGGTGATGACACGCTCTCGAAGTGTGGTGACCAAGTGACTGGCAGCTTGATGGCGTGGCTTTGTAGGCTTTGGAAGTAGGGGGGAAGGAGGAGGATATGGGAGGCAGAAGAACGCCTTCCTCCCTCCTGCTACTCCACATATGCCCCCCGAGCGTATCCGGGCGCACCGGCTCGCCGGCGGAGCGGTGCTACCCCGCAGGGGGACGAATGTTCTGTGGCGGCCCAAGAGATCCGCGCGGACCTCCACAGAAGTTAGTGCGGATGCCGTGCCTCGTCGTCTTGTTCAGGAAGAGGTGCGGCGACAAAAACCCGACGATGACGACGGGCGACAACGTCGACAGTGGACGACGGACGACGGCGACCCCTACAACGTCGACCCCCGAACCTGTCCTGCGGTGTGCTCTGGCCAGGAGCTTCGAGGCGGACTCGGCCGCAGCAGCAAGGAGCATCCCCGAGGGCCAGAAAGCGCGAAAAAAACCGAACCCTCGCTCCTCGAACCTCGATCCCCGCCGAGAAAGATCCTCGAACCTCGAACCTCAAGCCCTCGCTCCTCGAGCCTCGAACCCCAAGCCGTCGCTCCTCGATCCTCGACCCTCGATCCCCGCCCAGAAGGATCTTCGAAGCTCGAGCCGTCGCCCCTTGGACGTGGAACCTCAAAACCCTCGAACCCTCGCTTTTAGAGCCCCAGAACCCTCGAGCCTCGCTCCTCGATCCTCGCCCCCCGATCCTCGCTCCTCGGATCTCTAACCCCGAAACCCTCGAACCCTCGCCCCTTGCTCCTAGAGCCCCGAAGCCCTCGATCCTCGCTGCTCGGTCTTCGATGCTCGCTCCTCGATCCCCGCTCCTCGAACCTCGAACCCCGACCCTCGCTCCTCGCACTTCGCTCCTTGAGCCCCAAAGCCCCCGATCCCGATCCTGGATCCTCGCTCCTCGACTCTCGCTCTTCGCTCCTCGCACCTCGGCCCACGATCCTCGCTCCTCGCCCTTCGCTCCTCGGCCCTCGCACCGCAACACCCTGGAACCCTCGCTCCTCGCACCTCGGCCCTCGCGCTCCTCGCTCCTCGCTCCTCGCTCCTCGCGGCGGACTCCTCGCGCCTCGAACCTCGTTCATCACACCTCGATCCTCGCTCCTCGACCCTCGCTCCTTCATCCTCGCTCCTCCGACCTCGCCGCTCGTTCCTCGATCCTGGCTCCTCGACCCTCGCTACTCCAACCCCGATCCCCGCTCCTCGCTCCTCGCTCCTCGCCGTCGCTCCTCGCTCCTCGCTCCTCGCTCCTCGAGCCCGGATCCTCGCTCCTCGCTCCTCGCGCCACGCGCCTCGCGCCTCGAACCTCGAGCCTCGCTGCTCGCTTCTCGAACTTCGTGTGTCGCGCCTCGCCCCTCGCCCCTCGCGCCTCGCTCCTCGCGCCTCGCCCCTCGCTCCTCGCGCCTCGCGCCTCGAACCTCGCTCCTTGCTCCCCGAGGCTTCGACCGAGGCGAGGCTGGCGCCTCGCCCTCCTCGGCGCCGGCGGCCTCCGCCCCCGCGGGCGCCGGCGCCGCTGCGGGCAGACCCGCCGCCGCTTCCGCCCCCGCCGCCTCCCAGGCCGCGGCTGCCTCGCGCTGGAGTATCGCGCGCTGCGGCGGGCTCGGCCCCGGTGCGCGGCCGCGGCGGCACGGAGGAGGAGGAAGGACGAGGAGAAGGAAGGAAGGAAGGAAGGAAGGAAGGAAGGAAGGAAGGAAGGAAGGAAGGAAGGAAGGAAGGAAGTAAGGAAGGAAGGAAGGAAGGAAGGAAGGAAAGAAGGAGGAGGAGGAGGAGGAGGAGGAGAGCAGGAGGAGGAAGAAGCAGGAAGAGGAGGGAGGTAGGAGGAGGAGGAGGAGGAGGATAGGAGGAGGAGGAGGAGGAGGAGGAGGAGGAGGAGGAGGAGGAGGGATGAGGAGGAGGAGGAGGAGGAGGAGGAGGGAGCAGGAGGAGGACAAGGAGGAGGAGGAGGACAAGGAAGAGGACACGGAGGAGGACAAAGAGGAGGATATGGAGGAGGACACGGAGGAGGACATGGAGAAGGACACGGAGGAGGGCGTCCACGGGACTCGACGTCGACCCCACGAGGCTGCGGCGCGGTGAGGGGGGGGAGAATTAGGAACAAACACAACAACAGCGTAAGCGACCAAGGGGCCGAGCAGACTTCTTAGGCTGGAGCTGGACACCCCTGCCCACATCCCTGGGCGGCGCCAGCAAACGGCACAAGCTCATACGGCCAGTCGTGGTCGTCGACGTTGGAGGATGGACGCTGGTTTCTGGCACAGCATAAACAGTTCAGTCTTGAACGACCTCCGCTATGCGACGGCGGAGATCATTCAACGCAGGACTAGGTCAGGCGGCTGGTGGCCTTCAAACCTGAGCGGCCGCGCCGGCGTCCAAATATTCCCAGCTGGAGACGCACACGAGCTCGTATCTGCTCAGTGCTCCCAAACCCGTTTCCTGGTTGAGCGACTCGAGGTGTGAACGCGGCGGGGTTCCTCAGCTCTTGACAGGCTTTGTGCATGCGGCTGCATACATAGGGACAGGGAGCGATGATTCGGGAAGCATGCCGCCATTGCCTCAAAGGTGGGCAATACGTTGGGAAGCTCGAGTTTCACACAGGAATCCTGGGGGTGAACATCACAGCTCTTAATCTGCAAACGGCATCGCGAACGCGGCGGTGTTCCTCATCTCTTGACAGGCTTCGTACATGCAGACGCAAACATAAAGAAATGGAACGATCGATAATGCGGGAAGCGTGCCGTAATCGCCTCAAAGGTGGTCATATCGATGGGAACTCGAGCTTTACACTTGAACCCTAGGGGTGATCATCACAGCTCTCAATCTGCAAACGGCATCCAACAAGCAATACTTCGAGGCGCTCGCCTGCCAAAATGCCGAGGCCGTGCGGCCCTAGTGCCCCACCGATTGCGACGACTTATTGCAAAGCCGCCAACATTCCAGCGTGATTAACCGTCCACCAGAGACGGTCCAAAACAAAATCGCTAACAGTCCAGCACCGTTTACTTGCAAGCAGTCCTGCTCTCCAGCGGCCAGCCCAGTGGTCTGTCATCTACACACTAAAACTCTGAAGCCCTTGTTCTCACTCTCTTTCTCGCTCCCTCTCTCCCTATGTTTCTCTCTCGTTACCTCTCTTCTATGTCGCTCTCTCTCTTATCCCTCTCTCCCTCCAGCATTTGGTTTGAGCCATCACGCAGCAGTGAGTACTTCTCTTCTCTCTAGCGCATAGCGATCGACACTGGATAACAAATCGGTTCTCAGGGATACATCGGCGGCTGCTGCGCGTGCGAACAGCACCCCTCAGCGCGCAGGCTATTCTGTCAGGCTCTTTCTTGAGAATGGCTGGTAATATTGCAATCCGTCTGGCTGCAGCGCCAGGAAACAGCCGCTCATAATGATCCACATCAGGCTTCGCTGCGAAGGAAGGGCCAGGGCCTCTACAGCACACCCTCCTCGTCCACACTCCATGCGTCCTCCCCCTCCTCATCACCTGTCTCGCTATAATCATACTTACGTAATTTTAGCCAGCCTGGACACCAACCGACAAGTTATTGCACTGTGACTGTGTAAGCTGTGTGGTGCAAGCTACGTGGCGCAGGTATGTGGTGAAAGCCATGTTGTGCGAGTAAGCGATGGGCTGCCGGCGAACTAGCGGCGGACCGAATCAACACGTACGCCGCAACGAGGCGGCCAGCAGGCAGCCACGCGCGGCACCGCGGCGAAACTTCGGCGGACCCCCCAAGTGGGCGGCAACGAGGCGGCCACCAGGCGGCCAAGGGCGGCAACGCGGCGAAACCTGGGGGAAGCCCCAAGAGGACGGCAACGAGGCGGCCACGAGGCGGCCGCGGGCGGCGACGCGGCGACACCTCGGCGGACCCCCCAAGTGGGCGTCAAGAGGCGGCCGCGGGCGGCGACGTGGCGAAGCCTCGGCGGGCTTAACCAATAAGTGGTCGGCAGAGCGAGGCGGCCACGAGGCGGCCACGTGGCGGCGACGCGGCAAAACCTCGGCGAACACGACCAATAAGTGGGCAGAACGAGGCGGCCACGGGCGGCGACGCGGCGAAACCTCGGCGGATCCAACCAATTCCTTAGTGAGAGAACTAAGAGCCCCTAAGTGCAGGCACTGGTTGGAGAAGCTCATCATCGCCAGCATCATCATCATCATCATCATCATCATCATCATCATCATCATCATCATCATCATCATCATCATCAGCATCAGCATCAGCATCATCATCATCATCATCATCATCATCATCATCATCATCATCATCATCATCATCATCATCATCATCATCATCATCATCATCTTCATTCTATCCATATTCATCTTCATCATCATCACCACCACCAGTATCATCATCAGCATCAGCATCATCACAATCATCGTCGTGATCGTCAACATCATGGCAACGATGGTCTCCACAAGCGTCAACACAAGCAGCATCGGCAGCAACACCACGATGACCGTCGACGGCGATCCCCGCGCGCGGGCCTCCGCTCCAGTGGTGCGGGCGCTGGCGCTGGTGGTGGGGCCCGCAGGCGACGTTGGCGGCGGCGCGCTGGAGGCACCTGCGAGTCCGGGCGGCTCCGGCACGTGGCGAAAGCGGACAGGGACAAGGGGGAGGAGGGGGGGGACCTCGAGGGAGCAGAAGGAGAAGCTTTTCCCTTGTTGTTTGGCCGGCGCGCGGGCCCCGAGCCTGGCGGCCTCGGAGGCTCAGCTGCTGGCGCTGCTGCCGCTACGAGGGCCGCGGTCGCTCGGACAGCTCGGGGGGGTGGCACGCAACGACCCCCAAGACACGCACGATAGCAGCACAGGCTGCGGCGGGACTTCTGCCCGACTGTGGGCGCCGCCCTTCTGCGAGGAGAAAGGGGCAGGGAGAGGGAGGACAGACCAGAGCAAACCCGAGATCCACCAACGATGCCATCAGAGAGAAACGCCCCCTTGAAACAGCAGCTTCCTTTCTGCATGCCGTTCAGGCGGGAGCCCCCACTCTGAAAAGAAAGAATATGGCATCCTTCTGGCGGGCAAGAAGAAATGCCGAAACACTCGCACAGCTCAACTATGTGTCCAGTGAGATCCCCGTCAGCTGCTACCCCCCACCCATCGTTGGCACGACACCAAGGTCCTGAGTCCGCTCCCGTTTTGACAGCGAACGCCCCCCATCAGTGTAACAATTGCATAGGCTTGCCCTTCTGGCCATGAACATCGCGGAAATCTCAAGCGACAGCTCCATTCTGGACAGGAGCCACCCTCCATCCGTTCAGCTGCTGCAAATGATCAAGCTTCTTGTTTTTTCCAGCGCAAGAGAGCCCCACCTCCATGGACAACCATGCATGTGAGCAGCATATGATCAAGCTTCTGGTCCTTCGTGTTAGGGACCCAAGGGAGAGAGTCCCATCTTGAAACGGAACAGCCCTCCATCGATGTAGCGGCTGCACACTTTGAAAACGAAAGCGCACGTCGCTGAGGCGAGCGTCCTACTCTGAAGTGACGCCGCTCTCCATCCCTGCAGCCGTTGCAAGATTGCAAGGCGAATGTGCGCGGCGCTATTGCGATAACCCCATTTTGAAAACGACCTCCCTGCATTCGCGTAGCTGTCGCCAATTGCTAGGACAAGTGCGTGCGGCGCCAAGGCGAAGCCCATTCAAAAACCGTCTCCTCAATCCGTGGAACTGCTGCAGGTCATGACCAGACATGGTGAGGAAGTCGAATCGAAACGCCTGGTCCCACCTACCGGCACGTGCGCGTGTGTGGCATATATGGAACATCTCTGAACGGGAGGAATGGGGGGTGCCTCTGCCTCCTCCCTTACCCCCTCCTCGACACTCTATCTCCCCCTTCTCTCTCTGCCCCTCTTCCTCTCTCTCTCTCTCTTTCTCTTTCTCTCTTCCTCTCGCTTTCTCTCTCTCTCTCTCTCTCTTTCTCTCAGCGTATCTCTCTTTCTCTTTCTCTCGCTCTGTCTCTCTTTCTCTTTCTCTCTTTCTCTCTCTCTCTCTCTCTCTCTCTCTCTATATATATACACGTATGTATGTATCCCTCTCTCTCTATCTCTGGCTCTCCCTCTCTCTCTCTCTCTCGCTTCCCTCCTCCCTCCTCCCGCCTCTGCAGCCCTCCCCCATGCAGCCTCCCTCCGCCTGCATCTCCCCCCTCCCTCCTCCTCCCCCTCCCTCCTCCTCCCTCCCGTCCCCCCTCCCTCTTCTCCTGGCCAGGCGACGCTGCCCAGCTGGCCAGCCCGGGGTGCGTGTGATCGCTCCTGGCCCCCCTGGCCCCTAGCTGGGCAGGGGGAGGGAGGGGCAAAGGGATGGAAGTGGAGGAGGAGGGAGAGGAGGGAGAGGAGGAGGGAGAGGAGGGAGAAGAGGAGGGAGAGGAGGGAAGGGAGAGGAGGAGGGAGAGGAGGGAGGAGGAGGGGAATGAGGACGAGCAGCAGCCAAAGGGGCAGAGGGGGAAGCGGCGGAGTGAGAAAGAGGAGGAGTAGGAGGAGGAGGAGGAGGAGAAGGGTGGGGCAGCAGGAACACCAGGAGGAGAAGTAGATGGGGCAGAGGAAGAGCAGATGATGAGCAGGAGGATCGGTAGGAGCAGAAGGATAAGGAAGAATAATAGGATGATGAGGAGGCGGATAAAGAGAACCTTTGCTTGCTTCCCGAAAATGTGCGCTTGACCACGAACCGTGAGAAAGCAGTACATCAGGCTCTCAACAGCAGGAGCGACAAGAGCATCGTCCACCTGCTGGCGGCAACAAGCAGGCATCATACCAATGATCGCAGAACAAGCTCCCCATCACGATCAACTCACCCCGCCTCATCGGAGGGCGCGGCAGCGCCAAAACCAGTTGCAAGCTCAGGGGTCGGACGACGCATGAGCCTCAGGCGGGTCGCTTTGCAGCGCTGTCGAGTTTTGCCGCTGGCGCTGTGGCACACTCATCGCTGAGCACCTCGAGCCTGGGAGCTTAGAGTCTTGGCACCTGCGAACCTCATACACGTGCCCAGGCCCTGGGCAGCTGGGCCCTCGGACGAGACGCCCAAAGGAACCGACGCCCTGGAGGGTCACACGCCGCCCCGCGAGGCCTGGCAGCTGTGCGCAGAGCTTGGAGTACCACGTGGGACCTGCTCTAGAACAGGAGCAGACCGCAGACAGACTTACCCTTTCTCCGACGTTGCACTGCGCCGAGCTCAACGGCCGCGTTGGCTACAGATAGGCGTATCCACTCAGGAAGTGTCGATTTGCATATGTATGTATATATACACATACATATATATACATGTTTTCGTACTACGCCCAATGCATATATATAGAGAGAGAGAGAGACAGAGAGAGAGAGAGCGAGACGCTTGTGGTGGGAAAATGAGAGCGGCATTTGGCCTCTGATATTGGTCCTCCAGCCGCAGGTAGACTCACGCCCCGCGGGAAGGCGGGTCGCCCTACGCGCTGCCGCGCTGGTCCCAGGCAGGCTGTGCTGCCCAGCGGAGGGGGAATAGGGGAGAAGCAGGCAGACAACGACGAACGCGCAGGCGGGAGGCTGGGGCCGGCAGGGCGGGCGGGCAGGCGGAAGGGGGCCCGGGCGGAGACAGCAAGCAGGGAGCAGGAGGAAAGGGAGAAAGGCAAGGGATAGGAGAGGGCAAGCAACCGCACGCAGACAGGCCAGGCCAAGGGCCAGGAGAGCACTCGCGACGAGACTTTGCCCTCCGACAGAGGGTTCCCCCGTCGCGCAAGGCCTGGCCGCCGACGCCCCACGCTCCTGCCGAAGTCCACGCTGATGCCGTGCACTCTACGCCGCGAGCTGGCAGGCATCCAGCGCGAGCGGCCCGTCGCGAAGCGCCGCAGCGCGCCCGAACTCGGCCAGTGCACGCTGTTGGGCGTCGCTGGATGGGGGGGGCGATCAGTGGGGGGGAGACGGGTGCACTTCTCGAACCTTCAAGGCCCCCTTGGGGGCCCCAACGGGCTGTGGAGGCCCTAAACATAAGGGCCCCTTTTCTGCAGCCCTCGCTGCCGCCCCCCACTGCCGCCCCCCACACCACGCGACGCCCAACACTGGACGTCGAGTCAGGCTCCAGGGGCGTCCGCCGGGCTCGGCAGCGGCACCCGCGGCACCCTCGTCACAGCCTGCGCGAGACATGGGACGCACAGAGAGAGATTAATACCATATGTCCGCCTTGCAGGCACGCGTCCGACCAGAACATGTAGTATACCCGTCTTGTAGTATATCGTTTCCCGAGCGCTGTGGTCAGAAAGCGCCCGCCATGACGCAGATACCATAAGATTTCTCGGTGCGCGCGTCGCCCCTGGGGGGGGGGGCGACGCACACATAGTATAAGTATGTTGGGGTGACGCCGAAGACATGCGCGGCGGGAGGGGTGCATCGCGGGCACGGCTACCTGCGTGTGCAGCCCGGGCAGGCTCGAGAGGGCGAGGAAGAGCGGGCGCCGGCCCCCCGAGCTCCGAGAGCCCACTTGGAGGCGCAGGGAGGCGAGAGCGCCACAGGCCAGGGATTCATGGGTAGATGCCCCCCCCCCCCCGCCCCCCACTCAGGCCACAACTCGGGCCACAGGCCACAATTCGGGTGGCTTGCTTCGCTCGCCTTGCCGCAGGAGCGCGGCAGCGGCGGCGAGGCCTCGCGGGAGTGACCTGGGCCACTTCTCGGGATTCCTGGCTAGTGTCCTGAGCCAATCGTGCCAGGGTGTTGTTCTCGTCCCAGTGTCAATTACGACGTTACTCAACATAGCAAACTGCCCCCCCCCATTCCCAAATCTGTGGGTTAAGCCCCCAGCACCTTCGCAAGAGCTGCCGTGACGTGGGGAACGAGTGATGGGGCAGACGAGGCCAGCACCCTTGGCGATCCCACTACAGGTGAGCCGCTGACAGGGACGCTACACATCGCCACGCCATGCTTCGCAGTAATGCTGGAGCCCTTCCCGTCGGTTGGCGCCGTGTCAACTTCGTCCGAGCGCAGGTCTTTCCGTTCGGAGATGGTCGTTCGCTCGAGCTTGGGTACGGCGCGCTGGACGCATAGCTTGCACAAAGGGTTGCCCGACAGATGGCCTCGTCCACTCTGTCCTCCTTCTTGGCCTGCGCGTGATCCACCTCGGTGAGGTGCTGGCCATAGCAACATGGGCAGCCTCTTCGGGGTGTACCGAAGTTGGCGAAGGCCACGCGTCGGACTTCAGCATGCTCTTGAGCGCTGACTGAAATGACGGCGCCATGCTTGGCGACAACCGGGTTGATCTGCTACTCGCCCCGCTTTGAGCAGGGACCGACCGTCCCGGTATTCCTATAGGCCTACCATGAAATGTCCTTAGAACCCCGAAAACGGTATAAGAACAAGAACAATGTTCGTAGAACAGACGCCCGATGTGTTAAAACAAGACAGACACAGCCAGAAATGTTCTAAGAATAGTTCGAGCAGACCAAAAGGTTCTTAGAACATTGTTTGGTAGGCCTATAGGCGAGCTAGGACGCTTCGCCCTGCTTGACCAGTCGCCGAGTCGTGAGGTTGGCAACGCCCGGCAGCCTACACCAGAGGTGCCACACGCAGTGGGACAGCACGCCGCCACCCTGGGCCCCACATAATCGGCGTGGTGTCCTTCAGCACGGACTCGTCTAGAGACTCCGCGCTGCAAGTTTGGCCGTGTGATGCAGCTCCGCCGCGTCGGAGACGTGGGTGGTGGCACCGCAGAACTGGAAGAGAGCCGTAGGCGATCGTGCGGCCCGCGTTCCGCCGCACCATCGCTGGGCCGTCAGCAGCGCCATTCACTGCGTAACCTCGAAGTGTTCAGCAGCAGCGGTCGCGGCCAGCTTGCCGGCACCAGCGGCAGCCTTCGCGAGGTGCCCATCTGGCACCCCCTGCCGTCGAGCTCCGCCGCGAGATGCTGCAGCTTCAGGCCGAGCTCCGTCGAGAGGTGCTGCTGCACATTACGAGCCCCCCGACCCTAACGTTATGTTGCTCCAATCGTACTTGAGGACCGCATCCCAGAAATAATCTCGAGCACACAACAAATGTCGAAACAGTGTCGAACGAGTATCACCTCCCAGGGCCCGACCCCTGAAAGACCTCAAGCTTCGGTACTTCGCATGGTGCTCGAAAGTCTTTCTGGTGATCAACCTTACAGTCGGTTGGAGCATCATAGCCATGACGTGGCAAATCCCTAACCTCGGAGCGCCGACGATACTCGGAAGCCGGGCAAGGGCTGCTAAATCCGTGGCTGCTAAAATCGACATCTGGGAAGTTGTCTTCGTCCTTCCGGGAAGAAGCCCGTTGACTGTTTCGCGTGGCGCGCCTCATTCCGAGAAATTGTTTTCTCCCTTCCGGGAGGGCCGTTTTAGCAGCCACGGTTTTAGCTGCCCTCGCCCAGCTTCCGAGATACAGTCGGGGAGGGGCTGCGCCAACATGCGCGAGCAGACATGCACCTGGGAGAGCACGTAGGCGCCGTGGCAGGCGAGCCCAGAATTAGGTTGGGCATGTCCCCCTACAGGCGGATTGTGGAAGAACAAAAAGATAGAGTCAAACAATACCCCCGAATGGTCAAACATAGTCAACAAAAATCGTCCCCAGGCTGTTTTTTGACTAATTTTGAAGATTCTTCCTGCAGAGGGACACGCCCGACCTAATCCCGGAATCAAGCCGGTGAGTCGGATCGGCGAACGAGATGAATCGGATCGGCAGCCATCGGCAGCCGAGTTGGGAGAAGTCGAATCGGCCGAGATCAACAGGCGAGTGAGGCCTCCGCTGGGAACTCGGAATCCAGATCGGAAGTCCGGGATCGAATCGCATTGGAATTCGGAATCCGTCGAGGTCGAATCGACTCGAATCCGTCGAGATTCGGAATCCGTCGAGATCGACTCGCACCGGAATTCGGCATCCGTCGAGGTCGAATCGACTCCAATGGGAGGAATCAGAACGAGCCCTGCGTGGACGAGCTACCTCTTGGAGCACCGAGGCCGAGGGCCCATGCCACGCCCGGCGACGCAGACACACCGGCAGAGGTACGGAGAGCACCCACCGAGCCACGTCGCCGCTGCCGCGGACCACCTCGCCACTGCACCTCGGGGGTGTCCTCGAGGCTGCCTCTCTCGGCTATGCGCAGGAGTGACCCTGGGCAAGAGTGACCTCTGGTGCGCGACTTTTTGGGGGCCGCGGGGGGGCCAAACCTGGGCGCGCAAGCAGCTGCTGCTGCTTCGTTTTCAGCCATCTTGGGACCCATCTGTGACCGCACCAAAGGTCACTCCGGCGAAAGGTCACTCTTACGTCTAGTCGACTCTCGCTCCTCGGGGACGTCCTCGAATCGGCTCGGAAAGAGGGCGGCGGTCCTCTCCTCTCGCACCTCGGGGACGCTCTTGAGGTGCGAGAGGCGAGGACCGTCGCCCTCTTCCCGAGCCGAGTTGTGATCATGCCACTCCGGCGCAAGTCCCGTTTGAGCCAAATCGCCCGTGGAGGAGGAGGGCAAGGGGAAGGGGGGAATGGGAGGAGGGGGAGGAGGGAGGTACCAAGATCAAGAAACGATGGATACTTCGGCAGGCAGATGTAGAGCACAAAACTGGACGACGGAGGACAGCGAGGGAGTGGAGCGAAAGGGCAGGGGAGAGAAGGGGAGGGAGGGCAGGGAGGGGCAGCAACCATACCGAATGAATTTGACCTACGGCGCGGCAGCGCGATCAGCAGCCGATGGCGGCCTTCGCTTCTGCTAGGACCGTGCACTGAGATGTGGGAGTGTTGTGCACGTGCGCTCTCTGGCCCGTCATGCTCTGCCTTGAGCTCGTGATGCGCATGGGATGCCACACTCATCTGATGCGGGGGCAAGGAGGGGGAGGTGAAGGAGGGGGAGGAGGAGGAAGAAGAAGAGGAGGGGGAGGATGAGGAAGAAGAAGAGGAGGGGGAAGGTGAAGGAGGGGGAGGAGGAGGAGGAAGAAGAGGAGGAGGGGGCTCGGCTTGGCTGGGCTGGGGCCCTGCCAGACGGCGAGGAGAAGCCCTACCAGACCAGCAGAACATGCGGGGCATGGCCATGCCACAGGCATCGGCGAAGCCGAAAACACCGTCGAAGGCAGGGCGCCTGCGGCCTGCCACTGCGGCAGGGAGGGGCGCCGCGACGGCTCCATCGGAAGCACGTCGTCCTGCGAGAAGGGGAAAGGGCGCGAAAGGAGGAGGAGGAGGAGGAGGAGAAGGAGGAGGAGGAGGAGGAGGAGGAGAGGAGGAGGAGGAGGAGGAGGAGGAGGAGAAGGAGAGAGGAGGAGGAGGGAGGAGGAGGAGGAGGAGGAGGAGGAGGAGGAAGAAGAGGAGGAGGGGGAAGAGGAGGAGGAGGAGTAGGAGGAGGAGGAGGAGGAGGAGGAGGAGGAGGAGGAGGGGGGGAGGAGGGGGGGAGGAGGAGGAGGAGGAGAAGGAGGAGATGGAGGAGGAGGCGGAGGAGGAGGAGGACGAGGAGGAGGAGGGGAAGAGGAGGAGAGAAGGAGGAGGAGGAGGAGGAGGAGGAGAAGGAGGAGGAGGAGAAGGAGGAGGAGGAGGAGGAGAAGGAGGAGGAGGAGGAGGGGGGGGAGGAGGAGGAAGAGGAGGAGGAGGAGGAGGAGGAGGAGGAGGAGAGGAGGAGGAAGAGGAGGAGGAGGAGAGGAGGAGGGGGGGAGGGGGAGGAGAAGGAGGAGGAGGAGGAGGATATGCTTAAAAAAGCAGTTTTCCCCTATCACCTTGCCCGACCCCCAGGACCGTGTCTTCACGACACAGCAAGAAGAGAGTGAGGGACATCAGGCTGACACGACATATGCGGATGATGCTAATTTCCCTGCGATGTGTAGTAACAGCGATAATAGTGTTAAGGATATCGAAAGCATGTTCTCCTGTATCGTCAAGAGAGCGGCCGCACATGGGCTGTCCATCAGTTTCACGGTGGGGAAGTTTCAAGTGATGCTCCAGATCAACGGGCCTAAGAAGGCCTTCTTGAAGCGTGAGATGTTCTCGAGTAGGGGGGGTGCGATCGATTTACAGGAGCTCGGTGTTAAGGTGCAGGTGGTGCGTTCGCAAATTTCGCTCGGTACGTGCCTGGTCGATGATGCTACCCTGGGACAGGAAATTGCCAGACGCTGTCAGGCCGCCGATAGCATCTCGGGAGCTCTTAGCAGATCTGTGTACAGGATGAAAGGTTTTGACATCGAGGCCAAGCTTCAGTATAGCACCAGTCTGGTGGAATCGAAGTTGCTTTATGTTTGCGAGGTGTGGCATCAGTTGTCGCAGACGGCCGCCAAAGCTTTGCAGGCCTCCTACATGAAGGCCTATAGGAGACTCATTGGCGAACCCAAGCACCCGCAGGCTCATCGTTTGTCCGACGCCAGAGTTTTGATTGTAATCGTGCCCCGATAGGGCAGCTTGTGACTTATACCGCCGGCTCGCGTATTTGCCTAGGTTGCTGCAGCACGGCCCTTGGCAGTTGCGAGCCATGTTAGACAGTCAGTGGGAGACGAGTGGCACGTGGACGGAGCGTATTAGAAAGGCTATTGATTGGCTGCACGCCTTCAGCCCGCAAGGGCAGCGGGATCGCCTCGGAGAGTCGCATGCTCATACGATCAGATGCGCTAGAAGTAGACCCGATTTTTTCGTGACGTGTGTGCGTGCCGCTTGGAAAGCTTATAGGAGCCGTGAGATCGAGACAGCTAGAGCTGAAGATTGGCGGAGTGCTATGGCCAAAGAGGCGGCTGCCCACGGTATGTACAACACCCCTTTCGGCAACCTTGGCACGAATGCTATGCAGTGTTATGCTTGCTACCAATGCGGTTTCGTTGCGAAGACTGGGACGGGCTGGACGATACATCGGACCCGTGAGCACCCTGAACTCGACCCTGTGCACCAGTATATTTCAGGGTCCAGGTGCTTAGCGTGTGGATGGGAGTTTCACACTCGACTCAGGCTGTGTAGGCATGTTAGAAACCGTAGTAGGAAGTGTTTGGCGGCGATCAGAGCCTTCGTGAAACCTATGTCCAGTGAGGAAGTCAAGAGCTTGACCAAGCAGGATGCGGAGCAAAGTGCCCAGCTCAAACAAGGGACTGTACCAGGAGTATGCTGCTCAGCCAGCATCTAGAATTTTCAGCCCGACGATCCCACCCGCACAGGACATAGAAGACGAGGTGGAACCGCATGTTGCGAATGTCGGGGAGCGTCAGGAAGGACTGGAGAGGAGTAGCATCAGCAGGGAGCGTTTCAGTTATTTCTTCTGTCTGCACCTGTTCTCTGGAGAGAGAGGGCTAAGTGATGTCCAGAA